ACTCGTTATTGCAAATTTTACGTTATTTTAGCAGCTGATTTTTTTGACTCACTCCACTCTCACTAACTTTGAAAAAATGGGGAAATATAGGTTACTCAGCATAGATTTGAGTAGTCGGAACATTCTGTGCAACTTTCACATCTGGTGGTGCCAAACATTAGAAACAGTTTTTCGACAGAGGGAAAGCAGAGCTTCGGACCACTCACGTCACAGAAATAAGCATACCAGTCCTAAAAACTAAAAAAAGCCAATAGACTATTGACATCACTGACTATGTAAAAATGAAACCACAAAATAAAGCCAATAGACATTAGTTCAAAAAGTGCCAATGCACTCAATTGTGAAATCCGAAGAAAAGGAAAAAATTTTAATTTAAAGCTCTTTAAATTTTAAGATATTTATTAATTGACACTTATTTATAAAAAAACTGCGCAATTATGAAAAACGAAAATCAATATTTGAGCGTGAACCAAACAAAACAGTCGATCTAATAAGTGATAAATCGCTTCGGTTGCTGAAAAGGGTGGTAAATGCCCTTGAAAATACGCTACTTTCAAAAGGATACAACTACAACAAAATAGCAACCAGCAGTTCTTTTGTTTCAACCAACTAGATGAATTAATTCGGTATTCGTATGTTCCTTTTAATGCAACATCAGGTATCACAAGCCGTAAAACGTTGATTGATAATTTTCTAGTCCTTTCTGCCGCGATTAAAGATACAAGACTTTGTAGTTAGAACATAGTTGAAAAATGGCCGAGGGAAAAAGAGCCCGGCCTGAGGACACGAAGTGCCCGAGTGCGGCTCTTTTGCCCGAGGCCATCTTCAACTATGTTCTAACTGTTGAAGAGTATATTTTCGCTCTTTCTGAGGAAAAGATGCCAGAAAATTGTGAAAGGGCCCGGAAAAATGCGCAAAACTATGCAAATGATTTCTTTTTTCATTCATGCGTTCTAATATTTCAATTTTCATTCATGCCTTGTCGTGAAAGAACATATGTGAAAGAGCAAAAACATACTCTTCCTGTCAAAATTCGGAATGCACTTTTGGTTTTGAGAAAAAACGGTCGCATAATTTTTGCTTTTCAGACAAATTTCGAGTCATTTTTATCGGAAATTGTTTTTGAAGAAAACACTTAAATTAATCTAGCCATTTAATTTAACCTTTATTTCAGCCATTATAACTTCTTTATAGAAAACTTTGCCAAAACGAGTATACTTAGAGCTACATGTGCTATTTACACAGATAACTCTTTACACAGAATTACATTCGTTTGATTAGTAAACTGCATTCATCGACTCTTAAAGCTGTTTTTCATTCTGAGACTGTTGGAAGATATTTTGGTATCATATAGATTAAGATCTATAGGCAAATCTACACGGATCATGTGATAATGATTCTTTGAAATTGCAGATTTTGGCCAATAATAATTCGTCTAGTTTTCAAATAAAATAATTGACGCTAATCCACACATTATCTTATTCCGGAAAAAAAATCGCAAGCGTAATAATGCTTCTAAATTTCTTAACAGCCTCAGAATGAAAAACAGCTTTAAGAGACGATAAATACAGTGAAGACTCTTATAAATGTCGTGATGATTTTTTGTTTTTTTTTCAGGGAAAAGTTGTAAAATTTATTCACTCTTAAAATTACGACATGGGTTTGAATCGTGATTTTCTTAAGTACAGTTCATTTTCTTCATGAAAAGGAATAGTTACTCCACTATCAAGCAGTAAAAGTTGAAAGATCACAAAGAACGTGATCGATTTCAATTTCTAAAGTGGATTTTATTGTTCAGACTTCCCAGCGGAACAAAGACTTTACCTATTGATCCAGTCTTCTCAAATTGAATTGAATTTATAACTAAAATATCAATCATAAATTGTTCTTAAAATTCCAAGAGCTTTGAGGCCATATATGTTTACTTTGAAATTCGAAAGATGAAGTTGTGTCCAAAAACAAGTCAGCTTTTTTTCTGTTTCCTTGCGTTCATTATTTTTTTTGAAATATCTGTTGGCTATGTTTGGTAGAATATAGGGCAATCGATTTATGTCAGCGTTTTGTGGTGGAACAAATATATAAACAAGAACGCCCATATTTGCTAGACTTTCCCATTGCTTGTGAATAAAAATTTCTTGCTTTTACCGTGCGCTGCCTTCAAGGAAATTTCTACAAAATTTATAATTTGAAGATCTAGAATTTCAATCAGCGAGAGATTGAGAATTTTAATAAATGACTGGTCTACGGGAAAGTGGACTGCTGGTAAAAACTTTTAGAAATTTCACCGTTATTTTTAGGTCGACCATATAGATTTTCTGAGCTCCACCAGCCAGCCAAAAACCCTACTTCGACGCGCACGAAAAAAGTAAAACGAATCAGAAACGAAGTTTTCGGGCACATTTTGGAAAGTTTTGAGAAACAAAATTGCTCCCTGTTTATCTCAAAAATCATTGCATTAAATTAGGTAAAATAATCAGCCTCAACCAGCTCGTATGGAACACAGATAACATTTCTAGTGCTAAACGAAGGCATTGTTAAACATCTCAAAATCATTCAGGACCACTGTGCCCAATAAAAACTAGTATGAATGTTTCCTTAAGTTATATTCGAAGCTTCATTCCAATTTACTTTATACTCCTAAAACAAAAACCAATGTACCGATCAAGAGTTTTATCACGAGATGAATGCCGAGCTACAACAAGAGCGGAGGGAAACATTTCCATCGATTTTAGATACAAAATCACAATATATCATCCGGAGAACCTATAAATCACGTAGTACTAAATCAAATAAAAATATTGCCTACCGTCGAGTTCGAAAAATAAGTTATTTCAAGCAATTGTCGAAAGCCTTCAAGCCAAAAAAATCTCAATAGCTAAGCAAGTATGTTTTCGGGCACAAATCAGATGAAAGCCTGGTTCTCACTTCATTGGGTTCGGCCAGCATGACTAATGCGGTTATGGGGTGCCATTACGGCATACAACTATACACTTAAGTGGTTCCGACTCTAGCATATGGAAAGCAGTCCTGCACTGACAAAAATGCATTGAGATCGAGTTTGGTATAAAAAACGTGTGGATTAAATTGAGATACTTCCTTTAAGTTTAAAAAAAGTGGGTAGATTAAATTTTTTCTAAAAAATAAAACTGCTTTGGATCAATTTCAAATGGATTTAAGCTGATTTTAAATACAAGAAAAAAAAAGATGCAAATCGATTTTAGATCAACTTAAACTTATTGATTTTCAGTCTTGAAATGGTTTGTTTTAGAGGGAATTAAAACGGATTAAAATCTGATTCATATCGACCATTTTCTTCATTTGTTACACATTTTTTTGCTCAAAATCTGTTTTACATTAATGATTTTCTATGCTTTCTTTGCATAATTGTGAGCTCAAAACCTGATTTATATCGAACATTCTCTTGATTTGTTACATAGGTTATTGCTTAAAATCCGATTTGCATTGATGAGTTTTACGATTTCATTTCATATTTTGACCTCAAAATCTGATTTACGTCAATATATAATTGATTTGACGCTCAAAATCTGATTTTTATCGACCATAAAAATGCTTTCAATGTACAGGTTTTGCTAAATTGGAACGTGTGTTTTCCTTAAGAAGCGAGAATAAATTATCATATATTTTGAATAGCATGTTTTTACACTTTGTTGCAAAAAACCGATTGAAATCAATTTGGAATGGATTTTTAAACGCTAAAATTGATTTGCTCAGGGGTCTCTTAAAAGTTATTTAAATGGATCTTAGAAGAATTCGGATGAATTTTAGTCCATATGAAAATTCATCCAAATCAATTTCAAGACACTTAAAGCGATCCCAAAATTTTCCGGAAAAACTGATTAAAATCAATCTAAAATCCATTTCAGCTCCTCAAATGAACATGCTTAATCGATTTCGATTGATTTAAAATCGAATTAAATTCGATTTAACTCAACCCCAAACCATTTTTGTCAGTATGGGATAGCAAATTTTTAATCGGAGCCATCCACAAATGAAGTTCTTCAACTCGTCATTTGAGCATCAGTTGGCAAAAAATGAGAAAAAAATACAGGATAATCCATTGCACATTGCTCGAGATCATTTTTTATTTAGAAATATCCAACCTTTTTCAGTTATGAAAATGAATCATGTTCGGATTATTTCTAAAGTTCATATCAAATATTAGCCGATCGCCAGGTCAGGTCATTTCAAATTGAAATCGCAGTTAGAAGCACGCATATTATCTCACTATATTATTTGGATGTTTCGATGTTCAGCGACGCAGATACGTTATGCCCCTCTAAATTCACCGCTGAGTCATGCATCCACAGCTGGAATCACGAACTTAAGAAATTACAAATTGCATGCCGACAATAATCACTGGTTTGGTCAAATTTATTTCAGGGAAGAACTCGTTTAAATAATGTTCGAATGAAGGCACACAGCTTGAGGAACAATTGGTGTACATGAAAGTTTCGTTTCCGAAGCACGCTCTATTCTATGCCTTGTCGAATGCATCAAAGCTCGTCGAGCGTCTCCGTTTCAACTCAGTCATTGCAGCACCCTGATCATTGGCGTTCTGCGGAACAATATTGCAGGTGCTGCTATCTTTGGGCAATTCCATTAATTCGTGTTGTGTATTGTTCTTATCAGTTTCGCTGATAGTTCCGAAGCTATTGCAGAACCTCAATTCTGAGCCCTCTGCGCCGATGCCTTTTTCCTGGGAGGGTGGTTCTATCACTATTAAAGGAATATTATTCCAGCTCCAGTCGTTTTTTGCCGCGAGAATCAGAGGCAAGAATATGAGAGATATGAAAAGAAGAAGCGCAATAATTCCAGCTGAATAAATCCAGAAGCCATAATTAGACATTTCTAGTGTGTCAGCATTCGCATAAGAGGCAACGGTAGAATTGAGAATCATGATTGGAAAAGTTTGTGCGACTGAAGCTTATGTGAGTGTGTTCCAAAAAGCTTTCTGTTCTCGTCTTCAGCATAGAAAACAATTTAATAGATATATTTTGAATTAAATAATTAGTATCTTTTAAAAACTTCCGAATAATTTTGAGCAAATAATGGACAGCAATTAAAGAAACTAGTTATTGAATTTTTAAAATGAGTTTTTTCCACAAGTACTTGTGGCTGAGACAAATGACTGGGCTTTCAATGAATATTACACTCAGAAAAGGCAATTCCGAAAGATCAGGACACATTTTCGTTAAAAACTGTCTCATTTAGTTTAAGTGCACTTTATTAAAGGTGAAATAAAGCAGTGAAAGCACATATTCGTACACACTAAGGCTCTTGACGTAGATCGAATAATTTCTTAAAAATAAAAGCAGGGAATTAGGTCATGTTTGGGTTCAGTTTGTATCTATTTGAGTTCAATCCAGGCCACTTGGTCCAAAAATTTTCAATTTGTTAAATGAGGTAGAAAAAAAACATCAATTTCTCAGCGTGCTCACTCCAGTACTGTAGGTTTTTACTAGTGGCTGAAAATAATACCCGTGAAAACTCTCCGATAAAACTTGGTAACCAAAAACGAGAAAGAAGCAAACTGTCTCCAACTCTCTTTAACATGCAGGTGCGCCTTTCCAAACAATTAAACAGAGGCCAATGCTTAGTAGCGAAAAAAAGTTATATCTCATGCATTTGAAGATGCATGTGTCTCAAACAAAAACCTGTCTTAGTCGATCCCAATCCCTACTGCCTATCATTAATTTCCTAGCTCTGAAAAAAAATCCGCAAATCCTCAGACATTAGCTAATCGAACATAATCGCATGAAAATACAGACATGAATAAAATGTATATGCATTATAAATGTTTAGGCATACGCTTGATATACAAAAAATTGAACTCGGTTAAGCTTTACAAAAACGGATTTATTTTTTAAAAATTGATAGAAAAAAAAACTAAATCAAAATTTCGATTTTTTCAAGAAATTTTTTCAAGAAATTCCAACCCGTTTTCAAGTCGCAAAAGTTACTTGTAGGAACTTTCAAGCTTTAAGGAAAAATTTCTCCTAGCAAATCAAAATGCAATATTTACACAAAACGCACAAAAAGTTATTGCTTTCTCACAACACAGAAGTTGGGGCACCGATTGGTTCAAACTCGTGCTTTTGTGGGAACAACTTACAAGTACGAATTTCGAGAAGCAGTTATATGATGCCTTTTAAACCGGAAATTCAATTTACTTTCACAATCAACACTTTTTCTAGGAACCAATCAGCTTGCGTAAAAAGCGACCACATTGAACAGTTAGAATGCTAAAACTCTAGCTGAACTTAGTACACGTAGCTGGGCGCATATAAGCGTCAAAAATCAATGCGGCTTCAACACCTCGAAAAATGAACTGTCTTGTAAAATTTTATGATTACTAGCGTGTACCGCACCTCCGGTGCTTCGAATTTTCAACAACTCAAAAAAAAACTTTTCTTCGAGTGTACTCTGACAGAACCCAATTACAGGGTTCGTAATTAAAAATTTTGCAAAATTTTTTATTCAAGTTTTTTATACAAATTTTGAAGAACCATAAAATTTTGTAAGTTTTATGCAAGTTCTTCGAAAAACTTAAAATGAAATAAAAAACGTCACATCTGCGAAACTGAAAGCAATTGAGCAGTTGAAAGCAAGATTTGCAACTCCTGAGAGTACTCTTAAGTACCAAACTACAATGTTGGGAAATTAAAATTTTGAAACTTCACCTTAAGTTTTGTAAAAGAAGTACCCCGAAAACTACCAAAATTTAAGCAATCTTCATTGATGGCAATAATCGCAATCTTTGAAAGTACACAACTACAGGGTTGGGAAGTTCACTTTAATAAATTATTTTGTAATTTGAGATTTCCGAAAACTTATACAAAAATGATTTGGGCATTCTTAATTGGAGGTCAATATTGCGACCACTGAGATTACTCTGACAGCCCCCCCCCCCCAAAACTACAGGTTAAAAATTTCGAACTTTCAAATTTCTAACTCCTGAGAGTACCCAGACAGAGCCTCACTACAGAGATGGGAATTTCAATTTTTGCGAAATTTTTAAAATTTCAAAAAAAAAACCTAAAAAAACATCATATCTCGAAAACTACAAAAATTTGAGCAGCCTAATTCAGAGGCAAGATTCGCATCCCCTGAGATTACCCTCACAAATTCCAATAACAGGATTGAGATCTTCAAAGTTTTGGAATTTTTTAGCATTTAAGTTTTTTAGAAAACTTCGGAGAAAATCATAAAAAACGTCATATCTCGAAAAGTACCAGGATTTGAGCAGTCACATTTGGCGGCGAAATTCTTAACTCCTGAGAGTACCCTGAGAGAGCCTCACTACACAGATGCTAATTTCAAGTTTTGTGAAATTTTTTATATCTAATTTTTCTGAAAAGTTTTGAAAAAATCCAAAAAAAAATCACAGAGTACCCTCACAATATCCAACAACAGGATTGAGATCTTCAACTTCCTTGTAGTTTTCAATATCTCGAAAACTACAAGGATTTGAGAAGTGAGAAGTTGATGCAAGATTCCCAACCCCTTTCAGAGTACCCTGGGGGTTGCAACACATGCAAAACTAATACGTTGAAAAAGCTTAAACTTGGCGAGATAGTGAAGCCCGCATTTAAATATATAATAGATAGATAATAGATGAAAAAAAAATAGGCGACGGGTAGACAGACATAATCAAATTAATTTAAAAAGCAGGTATACAGACAGACAGACTTAATTTGGCCTCGGAAAAAATACTGACGAAGTCTCAACATTAAGTCTCAAAACACTATCACCGGTATCAAATAACTCTTCACAAACATTTATTGAACTGCAACTAAGCCTACAAAAATTGGAGAAACTCCCGTTGCGGTGTTTAAAAAATAGTTGTCGTGAAAATATTTCCAAATTCTGAATCTTTCCGCACCCTCCCGTCATAATTACACAAAAAGCGCAATCGTACACACTATTGAAATTTGAAAAATCATTTACCTCTATGGGAATCGAACTGCAAGCCTCCGACTTCCAGGTACACAGCTCTACCCAACTGTGCAACTGACTCTGAAGGATCCAAGCCACTAACCACTAGAAACTGAGAAAGCGGAGAACAGATGCTATTAAACTGCTAATACAATGGATTAAAAAGCCACCAAAATGAACACTTTTACTCGCGAGTTGGATCGGAAGAAAAGAAATCGTGATATAATAACACAACGCTCTCAAGCTAGCGTGAGTAAAAAAAGTTTCTGGTTACCTCTGAAGATTTCATCTGACAATCAATAGCAGATATCTAATAGCAGCGCTGACAAACCCAAATTGATAAACTTCGAGTTAACTCTAAAGATATCAGATTTAAATTTATAGCACCCATTGAATCAGCGATAGATTTCTTTTCTCGCTGAAAAATATAAACAACAGCAAGCTAACTAATTATATCGATTTAAAAATATAAATGAGTTTTTAGTCCAAGTAATCGTGGAGATGATTGACGAACCTGATTTCAGGACTTCTATAAGGAAATAAGGGAAGCTTTACGACTACTGTATGGAAGCTTTACGACTACTATAGGGAAATAATTTAAAAGATGTTCACCAATGTACTTTAATCTTCGTCTGAATTGGCTTCAAAAGCTGTTATTCTGTGCCTCTCAACATCCGAGAGATACGAGTTGGCGAACTCGGCGATTATCTTCAACTGGTCCAAAAAGCACCCGAGCTGATACGACGTCACTAAATACGATATTCCAGCCGCCACCACTGAACCCACAATTGGCAAAAGCCACTTAGCACCTAAAAGATTGATTAGCAAGCAAGGTAAATCTTGGAGACGTAATTGTTTCAGCACAATATTGTTCTGACCACTGAGTGAGGAGGAACTTTGTCTTCGGGCGATTTTTTAATTCTTTAAACTTTTTCCACACAAAATCAATTACCACAAAAATCATTGGAATGGTTCGAGTGATACTTTATTTTGAAGCCCTTTCAGTTGTGATTTGAACGAAACTAAAATTTCCAAGAAACACGAAAAAAATCGTCAAATATGCCTTATTTACAATGACTTTCGAACAAGCCTATGTTGTAGGCTTTGAAAGGACAAAACACGACACAATTAAGTATCAGCCTAACAAATAAATTACGAAAACATTTATTCTTCACACTACTAAAACTCGATACAACTCAACTCCCATGAGGAAGATTTTTCTTTAAAAAGATCCTACAATTGTATTTCATGGGAAGTACCTGTTTCAACTGTTTCGGAAGTTGCGACCAGAGATAGTTGGGACAGAATGTACCGACCGGAAGTGGATGCAATTGACAAGGCTGCACTTTTCACAGAGTCCCACGAAGACAATGCTCTGGGAGCACCCTCTCGAATGACATACAACAGACGGTACTCATTGTATAATTTATTCGTCAGCGCAATTTCGATGGTCCCATTTGGAACCTCGTTCAACTCTTCCAGACTTTCAATCGACTCTTTGCTCAATCCAAACCCCTCAAAATACGTTAAAGTTTCTTCAATAAGGATGCCAATGTCAACGGTCGCACTGACACCTGGAATTGGAACTGCGCCACCGGCGGCCGAAGCAAGAGCTGCTTTCGTCAGACGTTTCTTGAACAAACTATATTTCAGATCAATCATTTGGCGACCGTATCCACCAATAGTCAACAGTAAAGCCTCTTGTTGAAGCTCAGAAACACTGTCTCGACAAATATCTTCTTTAAGCTTCGGAAAATCAAACTCAAGAGAGTTTTTGTTGTTCACGAGATACACTTTGAACTTGTTTGTGTCAAATGCAAACGTTTCCAACTCCTCTTGAATATTTTTACGCACATCCGCAACTATATCTTCTTCGCTCAAAAACTCATCGTCATCTTTGTCGTCCAGTTGTTTCTCGATGGTATCATCAATATGCGTCCTCACAAGGTAAAACCTCTTGTTATTTTCCTGTACCAAATCCGCAACATATTTAGCGTCCGAGCTGAAAATATCTTTCGTCACAATCAGAAAGAAGTCGTAATTGTTGACATTGTAGCCAATTTTGTCGAAATATTGGTCACGTGGGAACTTGACCGCGTCAACGCCTGGTACATCCCACATGATAATATTAGGGTTCTTGGGATGAGCAAAAGATCTAATATCTGTGGTACAAACTCCAGTAGCGCGAACCTTGGCTACCTTTCTTCCGATATTGGCATTAATGAGCGATGACTTTCCCTGTCTGGCTTGGCCAATGAAGGCTATGTTGATCGCCTCTTTTCTCCACTTGTCCCGTTCAACTTTCATTTCATCGTACAGCTTCTTTCCGACTCCGTGTTTCTTCACTAGACCTTCGATGTATTTATAAGTGCTTTCATCAGTATCGCCCCAAGACTTTTCATTATTTGCATTGGGTTGAGCCATTGAGAAACACCTGAAACTTAGTTCAACATGAAGCGTACAATTCATCTGCAATATAATTAGGAGGTTGATGGCTCGGAGCCCAGCATGATCTTTGCGTTGAATGAGTATGAGGCAACAATTTCCAGACAGGGAAAAGAGCCGAGAAAAACGCAGGTCGGACGTATTCAGGCAACCAGCGAAGATTATCTATAAAGATCGGAACAAATAGATACAAACACAATATCTAGTGGTATATTTTACACAGAGGCGAAGCTGCGCTTCGCAAACACTTGCAAGAACACGACCAAAAAGCAGCTCTATCAAGTGGCATACGAAAAAGTCGAAATAAACCTCGAATTTGCAAAAACTCGAGGCTTAGCAAAAACTCAAATTAGCAAAAACTCAAATTAGCAAAAATCTGCGATCTAGCGAATTTGAGTCTCACGCACTAAGCATTCAATAATATTTTCGACTTAGGTTGTAAAAAAAGAAAGTTCGGACTATAACACTTTGCGTCGCAAGTGTAATAACCCTATACAAAGCCTGATTTATCCAGATGAAATTATCCTGATAAAATGAATAGAATAAAACCTGAACGTGAACACCCCTCTCGAATCAAGTTGACTTTAGACAAAAATTGGTGACAATTATTCAAAACCAAAAACTTCAACAATAAAACCAAAAACTTCAACTCAACAATGGGTTCTTTTGCCTATTACTGCGATAAAAAAAATACGGTGATGCTGTACATTATGAGGAACATTTTTATTTTCATTAAATTACATTCAAACACAGAGGCGAAGGGGAGCTTCGCATCATTTGCGATACAATGCAAGCTGGCAAACAAAAAATTAAACGAGTACAACACGTCAAAAAATGGTGAAAATTTTTTTGAAATAGAAAAATTAAATTTCGGAAAAACGGGCGAGAACCACAACTAACAAGATTAAATAACATAAATTTTGGATTTACTGAGGCGCCACTAAGTCGGCAAAACGTGGGTAGACGCCAATTAAGCATGAGTGTAAGTAAATTAAACAGGTTACTACATGTGCAAGTTTGCACACACGTACGTCCATACTTGTGGGTATGGTGTCCTACAATTTAATGACATTCAATTTAACACCGTACATTTTAACACTTAGACATTTCACTACTAAACAATTTAAATCGACAACAATATAACTCCTATTTTCCAGTTTACCACAGTACATTTTGAAACGTTTCATTGAAATGGTTTGAAACGTTTCATTGAAATCATTTGCAAGGTCATTTCTGTTCAAAACTTACGCGAATTAAGTAGCGCGAATTTAAATGGCAAAAATTTTTCTCGTTTAATTCTTTGATGGTTACCGAAATCCTCTTTGAAGTAAGTTTTCTTTTCATTTTGGATTAAAACGGTGTTAAGTCAAAGAAATTGTTTTAAAATGTAGCGATGTTATATTGCTAAGGCAACAAAAAGAAGGGAGTTAAAGTGTAGGGTGTTAAGTTGTTTAGAGTTAAAAAGGGGGGAACCGTGGGTATATATACACATCTTTATAAATTTCCTTTTAATTATTGTTTATAAATATTCTATCTCTCATGCTGTAAATTTATTTCTCCCCTTCTTGTCGTAATATTTTTGACTGGACCGTAACTCACACTGTATAGGGGAGTGTAACTTGGAAATCAGGACACCCGATCGTGCTGTCTAATCCTACCATTGCGAGTTGTTTGACATTTGAATGATCCTTATTAATCCCTTGTACATTGAAAAAAAGAAAGGAAAAGAATGAAGCCAAAAACAAACAAAAAACATAAGAAATTTTTGTCACGAAACTTTCATGACAAATTCTTATTAGATTTAAAACTTTATCGCTTCTTAGTTTTTGAAAAAGTAAGAAGCGATTAAGTTTTAAAACATTGCACCTTTACACCGAAAACTCCCTGAGTTACCTTTAAAAGATCAATTTTCAGTTTTTGTCCTTCAAACGGCACAAAAAAACTGACTAAGCCGACCATGTAACCAAAGAAGACAAATTTAGTGAAATTACAAATTCGAGGAGTCAATTGATATAACTTGCAACTGCAATGATTTCGGTTACAATACAAGAAAATCTGTCATGTGACAACTAAGCTGACAGAACCTAAGCAGACAAACGAAAGTCCGACAATTCAGTAATTCACGTTTTTTTTTTCATTTTCATGCATGAAAAACGACCCCAGACCATATTGTGCAAAGTCAGCCGCGTCTAGATCAAGTGGTAAGGAGTCTGGAAATATGTTAGAATCTATTATAAAGCAAGTTCAATTTCTTAGCTTAGTAAGAAAACGTGTTTATTACGATCAGCTTCAGGAGCTAGAATGTATTGCACTTAGCTTAACAGAAAGACGGCTAAAGACTAAGGTCAACATGACCACTAGAGCTAGAAAATCTTTGCTGATATCAGGGAAGAACTATATAAAAGCCCGTTCAGCCAGAATTTGGACTAAAAAGAAACTTAACAAAATTTGTGCCGAGTAAAAATTCATTTTGGTTTATCAGAATGATTTCCAAAATGAGCAATGAGACAACAACTTGCCACTCTTGCTTCCAATTTACATTCTACGAAAGTAATTCAACTTCGAGAAACTGTTATTGACACTTTTGGCCTGATTTTAAACCCATTGACCTCTATTTTAACCTATTTTCAACGAAAACCATTCAACTAGGAGCAACCCTTGTTATGACACTTTTCTGACGACTGACAACTTAGAAAACTGTTATTGACCTATGGGCATGATTTAACCTTTTAGTTAGACATGTACTAGTCGAAATTTCAAAAAATAACAAATGACACAGCAGTTCTATAATGCAGTATAGCAGAATTTGAGAAAAGGATAATTTCGAAATTCTTCAAAAAAAAACATTCTTTAAATAGAAAAAAATTCTGAACTCAAAACACAAAACAATTGTAATTGGACAGAATTTTCGAGGACATAAATGGATCTACAAAAACCTTGGATAACCAATCAAAAAAAACAATTTTGGAACACGCTCAGAAAAATTGACAACGCGAAATAACAGTTTTTATACCAGACCTAACTTTTTTTTTACAATTTCAACAGCTTAAATTGAAGAAAAACTAGGGAAAACAACAGACAAAAGATTGAGAACCTTAACTTAATACTTTTGCTATCAATTCAACGAACATAAATGATAAAGTTCAGTAAGGCAAAAGATTCGATGAGATTTCCGCCATAAAAAATGAAGATGAACATTAGCATAAAATGTTTTATTGATTATCGATTGTCCAAAAAACAATGGGAATAAAAAAGCCGTAAAAATCTTTGACCGCTCGCCATTGGGACATTAAATGAGTATATTTCTCAAAAATTTTTGGATTCAAAACTTTTTGGTGGGCATATATTATCCAAATACGTCATAGTCTCAAAACCACCTAGTTAACAACAACCAATAAATTATTTCAAAAACCATTACGAAGGAAAAGTGTATTAATTAAGAATAAAGAGCAAATTCTGCAACAGGGCCGCTTCCTTTGATCTTTTATCTTTGTTTCCTTTAAGCGTGCCGACAAAACTTTGACAAATTAAAGACTTGTGTCTGGCTTCCAGTGAGCTACACAAACCAAAAAAGGAGCCAAAGTTTGACCTCGTAATGATGGTTTGTCGAATTGCTAACAGGACATGTACTAGTCGAAGTTCTATCAAAAAAGAAAATGTTTGTAAATTTAAAAATACTCCAGCCAAAAAAAATGACAGTGACACATTTATTGAGTCTTACAAGAATAAGGTTTCTGTTCCGACCATTGAAAATTGGAAGGAACTTTGTATTCGGTTGTTTTAGTTTTTTGTTTTTTTGTTTTCCACGCAAAATCAACTACCAAAAATAATCATTGGAGTGGGTTGAGTGATATATCATAATAAAGTCCTTACATTTGTGATCCGAACCTCAGTAAAAACAATTCAAAAAATACCAATGTCGAGAAAAAACCGGTAAAAATTTTTTGGTTTTTCGTTTTATTTCAAGCAAAATAAGCGAGCAATCAGGCTTACATCAGCATAATTATGCGTAATTTAAGGCCTATATACTTCGAAACAGTTCAAAAATTTGAATTAATAAAAAAAAAATTTGTTTTTCTTGTTTTTCAAATGTATGTATGTATGTATGTTTGCATGTATGAATGTATGCATGTATGTATGTATTTATGCAAGCACGTATGTATGTATGTATGTATGTAGGTGTGTGTATGTATGTATGTATGTATGTATGTATGTATGGATGCAGGTAATGTATGTCAGTATGAGTGTAAGTATGTATGTATGTATGTATGTATGTACGTATGTATGCATGTATGTATGTATGTATGTATGTATGTATGGATGCAGGTAATGTATGTCAGTATGAGTGTAAGTATGTATGTATGTATGTATGTATGTACGTATGTATGTACGTATGTATGTATGTACGTATGTTTGTATATATGAATGTATGAATGTATGTTTGTGTTTATGTATGTATGTATGCATATATGTTTGTATGTATGAATGTATGCATGTATGTATGTATTTATGTATGTCTAGAAAAAGCAGTTTGAAAATTTTAATTTTTTGTCTTAATTCGATCGAATAAGGCAAACGAGCAGGCTTACATCAGCTGAATTATGGCTAATTTAAGATCTTGAAACTGAATTTCAAGCAATTAAGACTAGCCTTCGAAGTTTTTTAGCTGCATTTTGGGAACATAAAAAAATATTCTGCAAAATTTTCCAGTCATTTTTTTCAAAATTATTTGTCCAGTTTGCCTATATTACTATGACTGTCTAATATGCCTCAATTACATTTTTACGCCAGATTCTTTTATCACACCAAGCAAAAAAACTACACTAATTTTGAAAAAAAAACTTTCTAAACCGTAGTTTTCTAAAGACTATGGTCGGAACATTCTGTGCTACTTGCACAGTAACCGACAATCCTTGTTCAAATGTGATAACAGCGTGCTTCTGATTGCAAAAATGCTTCCTCTAGTGAGAGTAACACAGAGACAAATCGGA